TTTCTGGTTTTTGGTGATTAATTGGAAATAAGAGTCTCACAGACTTTCTTGCCCATGTTTGCTTCGAACTGTGATCCTCAGATAGCCTTCTGACTAGCTAGGATTAAATCATGAGCCACCATGCCTGGAGTCCTTGAATATTTTTTCAGAATTTTGGATACTTTGGCATTTTGTGTTTTCCTATAAATTTTAGAATCCACTTGTAAAGTGTCATATCAACACACACACACACACACACACACACACACACAAATACTTTTTTTGAGTTTTGAACAATATTACAACAGATTTACACACTAGTTTGAAGAATTACATCTTCATGGTAATGAATCTTCCTATTCATAAATATGGTTTAGCTCTTCTATAATATTGCTTAATAGTTCTTCTTTCAATAAAAGCCATACACTAGTTTCTACTCATTAATCTATTAAATATGCATTTACTGAGGAGTTGCTAAGTACCAGGCCCTAGGTAAAAAGGTCTAGGCTTTTAAGTATAAAAACATAAACAATGAAGAAAAAATACTTGTCTTCCAGTATTTTCCAAGTATTCCATGGGGAGTTGGGGGAATAATAATAGTTATATGTATTAGGAGGTAATAAATGGAAAAATTTGAGAAATGTAAATAATCAGGATTTGAGAAATGTTCTATATTGACCAATATGGTAGCCATGCATAGAAATTGGGCACCTGAAATGTGGCTACTGTGACTGAGGAAGTAATTTTTTTTTTTTTTGCCAGTCCTGGTGCTTGAATTCAGGGCCTAGGTGCTGTCTCTGAGCCTCTTTTTTGCTCAAGACTAGCACTCTATCACTTCAGCCACAGTTCCACTTCTGGCTTTTTCTGAGCAGTTTATTAGAAATAAGAGTCTAATGGACTTTCCTGTCCAGGCTGGCCTTAAACCATGATCCTTAGATCTCAACCTCCTGAGTAACTAAGATTGTAGATATAAGCCATTGGTGCCCAGCTTAAATTTTTTTTTATTGTTATTACAAAGGTGATGTGCAGCAGGGTTACAGTTGCATGTCAGATAAAGAGTACATTTGTTTTTGGACAATGTCTCCCTTTCCCTCACTTGCTCAAGAGAGTAAATTTTTGTTGGTTAATTGGAGATAAGAATCTCATTAAACTTTCCTGCCCAGGCTGGCTTTGAAGCACAATCCTCAGATCTCAGCCTCCTAAGTAGCTAGGATTACAGGTGTGAGCCACCAATGCCCAGAAAAAGTTACTGAGGCTTTTTTAAATGGCCTAACATATGGTCTATACCAGAAAGTGTGCCATGTACACTTGAGAAGAATGTTTATTTTGCTGTCTTTGTGTGGAGTGATCTATAGATGTCTTTGAGATGTAGTGGTTTATAATGTCTGCTGCCTAATAGTTCTATCCATTATTGAAAGTAAGGGCTAGAAGTCACCAACTATTATTAGTGAATTATCTGTTTCTTCCTTCTGTTGCATTTTTCTTGCCTCATGTACTTTGTATCTGTGATATTAGGTGTACATGTTTATACTTCTTCATCACAGTGACACTTTTATGTTTTAAATTTTTTTCCTAGCTTAGTGATTTTTTTTGGGGGGGTCTGGTAGTGGGGCCTGAACTCTGGGCCTAGGTGCTGTCCCTCAGCTCTTCAGCCCAAGGCTAGCACTCTACCACTTGAGCCACAGCGCCACTTCCAGCTTTTTTTTTTCTTTCTGCTTATGTGGTGCTGAGGAATCGAACCCAGGGCCTCATGCATGCAAGGCAAGCGCTCTACCACTGAGCCACCTTCCCAGCCCCTTAGTGATGTTTTTATTAACATACATTAGTTGCACCAATACTTTTATTATTAAAAAGGTTCTTAATTTCTCTCTCATAACTTCCTTAGGCTGGACCTGGGGTTTCAACTCTGGGCCTGGGTGCTGTCCCTGAGCTTTTGTGCTCAAGGCTAACACTCTACCACTTGAGCCAGAGCTCTACTTCTAGCTTTTTGTGTGGTTTAGTGGTGATAAGAATCTCACAGACTTTCCTGCCTTGGCTGACTTTGAACCACAATCCTTAGATCTCAGCATCCCTAGTAGTTAGAATTACAGGTATGAGCCTGGCTCATAACTAATTTTGTCTTAAAAATCACTTTGTACCTTACTATGCCCAGTCCAGCTCCTTTTCAGTTAGGCTTTATGTGATAGATATTTTCTCATTATTTTATTTTTAACTTTTGGATTTAAAGTGTGCTTCACATAGAGAGTATATAGTTGGAATATAGTCCATTCTGCCAATCTCTGCCTTTTAATTTAAGTATTTGACCCATTTATATTTAATGTAATTCTGATAAAGTAAAAATCACACCTACCTTTTATACATACACCCCCCATATACATATATTCATATATATCTATATATATCTATATATTCTCTGTGTTGTCCTCTATTCCTTCATTATTGTCTCTTGTATATTAAATGGATACCTTCCTCTATATGGTTGTAATTTTATTGTTATTGTAGTTTTATTTAATTTGATTTTTATTTAATCTATTTTTTCTTTTCTGTGCAAGTAGAGGGGCTTGATCTCAGGGCCCTCAGATTTTTCGCTTCAGACAAGCATTCTATCACTTGATCCACAACTCTACTTCCAGCATTTTTGGTAGTTAATTGGAGAAAATAGTCTCACAGGCTTCCCTTCCTAGGCTAGTTTCAAATGGTGATCCCTCAGATCTCAGCCTCCTGAGTAACTAGAATTACAGGGATGAGCCCCTGGAGCCCAGCTGTATTTTAAAATTATTTTCTTAACAAGTTCTCTAAGGATTATAATTAATATCTTAATTTAGAACAATCTAACTTAGATGACAGCAACTTAATTTCAATAGTATACAAAAACAATACTTCAATATAGCTCCATTCTATCTCCCCTCTTGTGACCTATAGTTGTTAATAACATTAATCTTCATAAATTATAGTTATTGTTTTATACAGTTTGTGTGTGTGTGTGTGTGTGTATGTGTACTGGTCCTGGGGTTTGAACTCAGAGTTTGGGTGTAGTCCTTGAGCTTTTTTGCTCAAGGCTAGTGCTCTACTACTGGGCCACAGCTCCATTTCCAGATATTTTGGTAGCTAATTGGAAATAAGAGTTTCACATACTTTCCTCGCTGAACTGGGCTTTGAATCATGATCCTCAGATCTCAGCCTGGAGCCATTGGCACCCACTGCAGTTTCCTTATTTTGTTGTTGTTGCTGGTCAGTCATGGGGCTTGAACTCTGGGCCTGGGTGCTGTCCCTCAGTTCTTCACCTCAAGGCCAGCACTCTACCACTTGAGCCACAGCACTACTTCTGGTTTTCTGAGTGGTTTATTGGAGATAAGAGTCTCATAGACTTTCCTGCCTGGGCTGGCTTTGAACCACAATCCTCAGGTCTCAGCCTCCTGAGTAGCTAGGATTACAGGTGTGAGCCACGGGCGCTCGGCTGCAGTTTCCTTTTTTAAAGTACTTTTATTTTGAACAGTTTCATTTTTGCAGTAAAAAATGAAGCATAAAATACAGAGTTCTCATCTATCTCTTGACCCCCATGCCAATATATATATATATATATATATAGTTATATATAGTTATATATATATAGTTATATATATATATATATAGTTATATATATATATAGTTATATATATATATATAGTTGTCTTCTAAATAGGATAAAAAACATAGTTACATGTGTTGTTTTTTATGTTTTTTATGTTTCTTTTTTATTTTAATTTTTATTTTTTGTGAACATACTATACAGAGGGGTTACAATTACATAGGCAAGATAATGAGTATATTTTTTATCAAGCATTGCAGCCTCCTCCTTTGTTTACCCTTCACATTCCTTCCCTATGTATTTACTTTTACTTTTTACTTTGTTTCTTCATGTGAATTTGAATTTGAATTACTACATTGTTGTTTTTATTTCAACCGGAAGAACTTTTAGTATTTCTTATATGCCAAATCTGTCCATGATAAATCCTCAGTCCTTATTTTCCCCCAAAGTCTCAATTTCTCCTTCATTCTTTTTCTTTTTTTTTTTTTTTTTTTGCTAGTCCTGGGGCTTGAACTCAGGGCCTGGGCACTGTCCCTGAGCTTCTTTTTGCTCAAAGCTAGCACTCTACCACTTGAGCCACAGTGCCACTTCCAGCTTTTTTTTTTCTTTTTGCTTATGTGGTGCTGAGGAATCGAACCCAGGGCCTCAGGCATGCAAGGCAAGCACTCTACCACTGAGCCACCTTCCCAGCCCCAATGACTGTGTTTTGGATAATCATATATAACAAAATGCATACTAATGTATATACCATGTTCCATATTCTTCCTATACATACACTCTGTAGTACACATTTACACTGTGTATGGCAAGTAAGAATCACTGTGTGATGAGTTAAGCCATAGATACAGCACACAGTATACACCTGTGTGACAGCTCTCTCTTGTAAGAGTATATGGCATATGCAGTGGCTACAGAGGATATGACATTTATACTGAGTACACGTGTAGGTGGTTGGATGAGCATCCTCTGGGGAAGAGGAATGCTATGTGACAGATGTTCTATGTGTAATGGGTATCAACAGGAACAGGCCTCCAGGGTGTTACATTTACACTGGGTTGGTGTAGTAAATTCATGTTGTATGCAGAGAGAGTATAATCAGATGTGTGGTGGGTCTATATTGTGTCAGGCAATTTACAAGGGAAAGGTCCATCTACTGCGTATAATGGGCATCCTCTTTGTGATGAGTATATGTTGAAGGGGTGTGGTAAGCACACTCTATACACACTGTGTGGCTGCCCCCAGAGTGTCTATGGGAAATGTTCTATGGAGTGAGAAAGTCCTTATGAAGAGGCTAGGCTGCATCAGCCATCCTGTGTAGATGTGGCTCATGCTGGAAATATGGTGGTGTGCACTTATCCACGAGCAAACAGTGGGAGGCACCCTGCTAGAAAGGGGCATCTCCATCTGTTTCTAGAACCCTCAGACTCTCAAGCCACCAACCTCACTGTTTCAGGTTCTTCCTCAAATTCTTCCTCAAATGCAACCAGAACTGTCTGAAGAACGCAGGGAATCCCAGAGACATGCGCCGCTTCCAGGTGGGTTTGGGGAGAGGCTCCCTTGGCAAACCCATCCTTGCCTGATGGGGGTGGGGGGAGGGCAGGTTGTGGCTCTGCCAAGGCAGGCCTCTGCCCAGCCCTGTGCCATCCAGGGCCTGGTGCCTGCTGGGGGTGGGGCAGCTCCATCTCAACTTAAGCTGGCTGCCAAGGGAGGCTTCATTAAAGTCCCACTTAAGAAGATGCTAATTGTGACATTTTTACATGATTAACGACCCAGGTAATTTGCATAGTGTGAAGCACAGAACAGCTGCCCCTAGCACATCCCCAACCTGCACACACACACACACACACACACACACGCACCCCTCCCAGCACAGGGGGATAGTGGGAGAAGGCAGCCCCAGCTTCCTTCTCAGAGCAGGGTAGGGATGCTTGCTGATGGGTTCTAGAGTTGCTGTGTGTGCATGCACTATGGATAGGGGCTGGGAGTCCAGTGCAAGGACAGGAAACCCTTTTTGCCCAAGGAGCCAGAGGTACTTCTTGTTTCTGTGTTGGTTGGTTTTCTCATAGCTTTGAATTTTTCTAGCTCCTAGGAGTCAGTTCATCTGGGGGTGGGACCTGATCCTAATCTCACCAGCTCCAACCTGAGGAGCTGAAGCCCCCTCTCCCCACTCAGGGACCGTGAATTCCGGTCATACCCACCTCAGGTTGCCACCTCCCCACCACAGTCCCCTCCCCCAGGCCCTTTCCAAACTAGCCTTGGCTCTCCCCACAGGTGGTGGTGTCCACGACTGTGAGCGTGGATGGGCACGTGCTGGCGGTGTCTGACAACATGTTTGTGCATAACAACTCCAAGCACGGCCGCAGGGCCCGCCGCCTGGACCCCTCCGAAGGTCAGGCCCTCCAGCCCAGCCCTGGCCAGCCCCTGGTCCCCCCTTGGCGCGGTCCCCTGACCTGGGTCCTCTCCTGCCTCCCAGCTGCCACCCCCTGCATCAAGGCCATCAGCCCCGGGGAGGGCTGGACTACGGGAGGCGCCACTGTGATTGTCATCGGCGACAACTTCTTCGACGGGTTGCAGGTCGTGTTCGGAAACGTGCTCGTGTGGAGCGAGGTGGGCCACCCCCGCCAGTCTCCCTCCGGGCCTCGGGGCTGGGCCCTTCCCACGGGACGGGACCTGCAGGCCTCCCCTCTCCCCTCGCAGCTCATCACGCCCCACGCCATCCGGGTGCAGACACCCCCGCGACACATCCCTGGGGTAGTGGAGGTGACCCTCTCCTACAAGTCCAAGCAATTTTGCAAGGGAGCCCCCGGCCGCTTTGTCTACACAGGTAAGAAATCGGGTGGCGGAGGGAAAGCCCAAGGTCAGGGTCAGGACAGTAAGAGCGTAGAGAGTAAGTGCAAAAGTGAATGTCTACCAGGTGGCCACGCCCAGACACCCAAGCCACGCCCAGGCAGAGGCCACGCCCTTCCACAGCCTTTCCTGCCTGAACTACACAGCAACTCCTGGCACCATCCTTCTTTCCCTAGCCTTCTGTTTCCTTCCTTTCGCCTCTGGCTCCTCAGATGTTTCTGGAACATTCTCTCTGCTTCAGGCCTTCCTTCTCACTAGGATGTTTTCCCCCTTCAGGGTCTAGAACCATTCCAAGAGTACGTTTATTTCAAGGATGCCCCCAATGAGCGTTTGCTCCCCAAATCTTTCAAGGGTCTTGGGTCTCCCGGGCCTAGCTCTGTACACCCTCCCCCCCCCCACACACACTCTTGCATGACACCAAAGCAAAGACATGGGGAGATGTATGGTAGACTCCTCTAGCCCAAGCCCTGGCTTCTCACTGCCACACCACCACTTTCACAGATAGCTTAGTGGGGCTCCGTCTATCCTGGGAAGGCTGAGCATGGTGGCATGGGTAGGTAGGTAGGTGAGGTTACACCGTTGCTAGACAGCTTGATCCTCCCTTGAAAACCTTGGTCACAGAGAAAGGAAAGGAGGTCATGAGGGAAGGATTGCCCATGTAAAACCTAGGAAGGGAAGGCTTTGTGCTATTAGGACAACTAAAGGAAATTCACTACATCTGGAATTGGAAAGAGAGGAAGGAGAGCTTTGAGGCAGGTAGGTTAGATGGGGAGGGAGGGACCAGATCAGGAAGAGGAGGGGCAAGGCAGGGAGAGGGGAAGGGCAGGGGAGCCCTTCCAGTCTGCTGCATCCTCCAACCCTAGGTGGCAGTAAGTCCTTAGGTGGTCATCAGCCTGTGTGCATGGGGTGCATACAGACCTCTAATGGTCATAGATACTGTGGACAGTACATCCAAACCATAATAAATGAAACCTCTGTGTGTGTGTGTGTCTCTGTGTGTCTGTGTGCGTGTGTGTGTCTGTGTGTGCCAGTACTGAGGCTTGAAAAAGCCTAGGTGCTGTACCATAACTTTATTGTGTAAGGCTGTTGAGTGCTCTACCACTTAACCCACAGCTCCACTTCTGTTTTTTTTTTTTTTTTGTCATTTGTGGGGCTTGAACTCTGGCAGGGCCTGGGCACTGTCCCTGAGCTTCTTTTTGCTCAAAGCTAGCACTCTACCACTTGAGCCACAGCACCACTTCTGGCCTTTTCTGTTTATGTGGTATTGAGGAATCAAACCTAGGGCTTTATGCATGCTAGGCAAGCACTCTACTACTAAGCCACATTCCCAGCCCCATCTCCTGGATAGTTTTGCTGAGTTTTGATAGTGAAAATTTTGGTGGATAGTTTCTTTTCAGCGCAATTATATCATCTATTGCCTTCTTACTGCCATAATTTCAGATGAGAAGTCAGGTGTTAATCTCATTGGAAATAAGTTTCTTTCTGTTTCTCTGTCTCTCTGTCTCTGTCTCTCTGTGTGTGTGTGTGTGTGTGCATGTGTACCAGTTCTGGGGCTTAAACTCAGGACCTGGGCACTGTGCCTGAGCTTCTTTTGCTCAAGGCCAGCACCCTACCACTTGAGGCACAGCTCTCGACTTCCAGCTTTTTTGGTGGTTAATTTGACAGAAGAATATTCTGGCTAGCTTCTAATTGCAATCCTCGGGCTGGGAAGGTGGCTCAGTGGTAGAACACTTGCCTTGCATGCATAAGGCCCTGGGTTCGATTCCTCAGCACCACATAAGCAAAAAGAAAAAAAAAACTAATTGCAATCCTCAGTTCTCAGCCTCCTGAGTAGCTAGGTTACAGGCATGAGGCACTGGTGCTCAGCTCCAATATTTCTTCAAACATTATTCCTGCGCCTTTTCCTTTTCTTTGCCTCAGGCTCCCATTTTGCATATATTGGTATTCTTGATGGTGTCCCATAGGTTTCTTAGACTCTGTTCACTTTTCTTCATTCTTTTTTCCTTTCAGTTCTAGAAGTAGATCATCTCAGAGCTATATTCAAGTTCACTGATTGTTTTACTTCTGCCACTAGACATGTAGGTTTTCTTGTTTGTTTTTGGTTAGCCTTTCCTCCTTTCACAGTAATTTGGATTCTCTAATCCCACCATGAATCAATTTAGTACCTGCTGTAAGGAAGAAACCATGATAAATGTTCAAGAAAAGAGAGATTTAAACAATTCTTTCTGCCCCCACCCCAGCAAGAACTTATAGAGAAGCTAATGAGACATTACATTAAAAACACTTCAAAATTATGGGGGGAAAAGCTTCAGTGAACTCAGAGATAGATCAGTTGAGATGATATGTGTTACATAATGGGATAAGGGGAAGTAAAGAATGCTGTAAGACTTTAAGACACGATCAGAGCCAGGAGCAGTTGGCTTACACCTGTAATCTTTGCTACACAGGAGGTTGAGGTCTAAGAACACAGTTTGAAGCCAGTCCAGTCATAAAAATCTGAGAGACTCTTATCATCAATCAGCAAAAAGCTGGAAGTGGAGGTATGCCTCAAGTGGTAGAGCACCAGCCAGCAGTGAATAAAGCTAAGCAAGAGCTCAAAGCCCTGTTCAAGTCCCAGTACTGGCACAAAGAAAAAGAAAAAAACAAACAAAAAACCCTATTACCTATCAAAGAGGACTTTCTACAATGATGAAAATGTTTCTATATTGTCCAATATGATATTCAACAACCATGCATAGAAACTGGGCACCGGATATGTAGCTACTGTGATCAAAGAAGTAAATTTTTAATTGTATTTAAATTTAAAGAACTACATGTGACTACCTTAGCAGACGTCATAGCAGCTCCAAGGTTTTTTAAATAGCGGCTTGATTAGCCAGGATGACCCGAGGGCTGGGGTGGATGTGGAAGATCCCTACTCATGGAAGGCCCAAAGCTTCCTTCTTCTGGCTCCCAGGAGTTGACAGTAGCTGTGGGTTGTAGTCACTCCCTGGTGTGTGGTTGTGCCTGCTGCACAGTTGGTGTTTTTCAGTGACACTGTTGTAACAGGCCAGATCCTAGCCACCTGCCGAGGTAAGCTGTGGTCTGTTTTGTTAGGGACACACTTAGATCTCAGTCCCTAGATCAAACACAACCTAAAAGCCTAATAGTGTTCATCTGCTGCCCCTTCCAGCAGAGCCCTTTTGCCCCCACAATCGCTGCAGCTAGAAGCTTCCACATCCACACCCATTTTGGCAATTCCCCTTGAGGTCCCAGAATCAGTGCTGAGGTGGGACAAAGGGTTCCCTCCTGCCACTCCAATGACCTGCACTTCCTTTCCCTGCCTGTCCCTGTTCAGAGCCCAGAGCCCTTGAGGGAGGAGAAACAGAGGGGATTCAAGAGTTTTTCCCATCTGACCTGGGAGTCATAAGTCAAGATGCTAGTCAAGGGATCTGTGTGTGGGAAGGACTTGTGGAAAGACCTTTGGGCAGCCAAAGCCAAGCTGGGAGCCTGAATGGCTGAGGGAGGAGTGGAGTTGTGGGCATTGCTCCCAGAGGAAGCCAGAAGAGGAGAAGGACTGCAGACATAAGAGGCCTGAGACTCTTCTTATACGTGGAGGGAGTGGTGAGAGAATGAACTGTCTGCAACTTGAGGGATAGTATCTCTTTAGAAGTTGTGAAACCAAATGTGATGTGTTTAAACAGTGCCCAGTGCAGTGTCTGCCACAGTGTCATTTCTGACCCACCCCCTGCCACCTTTTCTCCAGTGATTATCTTAGAAGTCAAGTGCACCTAAGCCTAGACAGCAGCAAGACCATTCAGTCAGAGCCAAGGAAGAACTTCCTGATTCTAACCATAGTCAGAGATGAACAGAAAGACATGAGCCTCATCTGGGGGTCCTAGGATGTCTGGTTCTTTGAAGAAGATGAGGTGGCATTTGGCCACCTGGTTGCTTGGTGTAGAAGATGCCAGGCCTTGCCAACCCCACGCTGCTTCTCACATGATTCTTAAGTAAGAGATGCCAAGGTCTATGGCCTCAGAGCCCAACTCACCACCCCCTAAAGACTAAGGAACATACAGCTTCTTTCTTCACAACCCCAAATCACCCACAAACTGGCCTTCCTCCTAGGTGACTTTGTCAGCCTGTCCACCCTCCACTTTTGCTACGTCCTTCCTCCTACTCTTCCTATGAAGATCAATACTTTCATTCACAAAAGCATTCCCAACCTGGAGGACATCAGCTGTGCATGCATGCCTGTGTCCCTATGGGCTCAGGTCCCCCTCAGTCACTGCACTCTAGCCAGTTCCCCCCCCCTCCCCCCCCCCACACACACATGGAATGCTCAGAGGCCTCCATTAGCAGCCTCTTCTCCATGCCTCCCCTCCCCTCAGGCCTGGTTTGGGAAAAGTGGAGTCAACTACTATTCTTCATGGGTAACCAGGGGGCCTTGAGCAGTCTCTCCACCCCCTCTCCCCCTCTCCTCAGACCCCATGCCCAGCCCTGAGGTTTGGAGAGCCTGGTAAGTGCCCTATCAACATGTTAATCAAATTACTTAGGAGCTAAAATTGACGCTGTTCATTAATTATACAAGATTATGCTAATTGTGCATGCAAATGCATGCAGGGGAACAGAAGGTGTTCAGGCGCATGGTGGGCCATTAGCATAGAGGATGGGGTGCGGGTGCATTGGCATGCTAATGTATGCGCCCCTGGCTATTTATAGTCCCCCAGCCCATCTGCACTGCAGCCACCTCTACCCTAGCTGGGGATCCAGGTAGGAAGGCCAGGTCCAGGCCCAGCATGCAGCTATAGCCCTAGGGACACTGTATTGACTGCTACCACAGACCAAGTCCTGGAAACAGCTTACGCTGCCTGAACTTCTTGGGCCTGAACTACTCCAGCCACCTTCTAGTTCCCCTTCCCTTCTTGGGCAAAGGCCTTTTGCTGCCTGCTTTTCCCTAGAAGCAAAACAACTTTTGCAAGTGAGTCAGTGAGGTAC